TAGCTAGATCTTGTTTCCCTAAAACATAAACAGAAATACATATAAATGTTTTTTTATGAGCTTTCCTTCCCTTATGTGTTGTTTCCTTTTTATCATCAATACAAAAGTTAAGGCTGGGTGATTATTTCAATTCAACTTCCTCTTTAATATTTCTTCCTCCTCACTCCCAATAACATTTTGGTATGAAGTTTGTGTAATTTAGACTTATCCTGAATTTTATAAAACTAGATTAACACACCCTGTCTTGGGGCACAGCCCCATCCCAGTCAGGAAAAGATGAAAACTCCTCTGGGCTCAAGTGACCTCATTCCTGCAGGGCCTGCTCCACTTGGAGGAAATGATCTTGAAGGGAAGAGTTTGTCACAGGAATGGGATGGAAGCTAGAAGGAAGGCTGCTGGAACTCAGAGGAGCTGATTCTTACAACAGAGCCTCTGGGAGGAAAACAACTTGTGACCCTCTGCCGCTCACAAGGGCCTTCAGACCAGGTAAAAGCTCACTGCAGCAGGGAGCAGTTGAAGATAAACCCTGTTCTAGGGTCTAGATGTTCTTAAATTTCTGTCATGGATTCGCTTGATCGGTGCTACACTCCCAGCTCTGGAACAGTCTCTAGGCTCTTGAGTCTGCCAGACTCCCTAGGCCTCTCTCTCTTCTTCCTGGGTATGCTATGTGGCTTCACTGCCTCCTTAGATCGGACCTCTCGGCCTGCAGTGCTCCTACTTCACACTGTGAGCTCTGTTCAGCGAGTCCAACTGAGACACTTCTGGTAGAGACTCACACACTCTTCAGGGATAAACGAACCTCACCAAGAGTTTGCAATGGCACTCAAAGAGCGTTGTTCAAACAGTTGGATGTATTAGTCAACTGGACACAGCATGGGAAGGCCATAAGTCATCATAGCAAATTGAAGGTTAAAGCATAGACCGTTCTGGTCAGCCCAGAGCCCAACCAAGCTGTAGGGAACCGTGTTGTTCCAGTTCTCTCTGTCTCTCAGTCTGAGCTCCTTGGTCAGACTCCAGGTGAGAGCCCCAATTCCTTCCAGCAGTCAACTCATCTCCCCCACCTGACACCTCTCCGGTCCTTTCTTCTTGAGCTGAGGAATGTTGCTCAGCTTCCCTGCTGAGAGGTGAGGAAATCCATTTCCCTCTGGGTTGTTGGTTGCTAGGTGCCGATGTCCTGGGGACAGGATTTGCCCTTGTCTTCTCAGATGCTCCATCTATATGGGAACTAGGGTTGCCAATTTTGGTTGGACCTGTTCCTGGAGGTTTCATCACCTGACATCATCTTTAATTAGAGATTGATCTTTAATTTCCTGGAGTCTCCAGGACAATCCCAGAGGGTTGGCAACCCTAAAGAGGACTAAGGCCCAGACAACTAGGCAACCTGTCTCCCAAGGTCTGTGAGAGTGAGGGATTGTCCTTCAGGATAGGTTGTAGATCCTTGATGATGCGTTGGAGAGGTTTTAGTTGGGGGCTGAAGGTGGCGGCTAGTGGAGTTCTGCTACTTTCTTTGTTGGGCCTGTCTTGTAGTAGGTGACTTCTGGGTACTCTTCTGGCTCTGTCAATCTGTTTCTTCACTTCACCAGGTGGGTATTGTAGTTTTAATAAAGCTTGATAAAAATTCTGTAGGTGTTTGTCTCTGTCTGAGGGATTGGAGCAAATGCAGTTGTATCGTAGGGCTTGGCTGTAGACAATGGATCGAGTGGTGTGTTCTGGATGGAAGCTGGAGGCATGTAGGTAAGTATAGCGGTCAGTAGGTTTCTGATATAGGGTGGTGTTTATGTGACCATCGCTTATTTGCACTGTAGAGTCTAGGAAGTGGATCTCTTGTGTGGACTGGTCCAGGCTGAGGTTGATGGTGGCGTGGAAATTGTTGAAATCCTGGTGGAATTCCTCAAGGGCTTCTTTCCCAGGGGTCCAGATGATGAAGACGTCATCAATGTAGCGCGAATAATAATAATACTCACCAGCAACTACACACCACACAACAAAAGCACTAACCCAGGAACCTATTCCTGCAACAAACCCCGTTGCCAACGCTGTACGCATATCTATTCAAGGGACACCATCATAGGACCTAACCACATCAGCCACACCATCAGGGGTTCGTTCACCTGCACATCTACTAATGTGATATATGCTATCATGTCGCCAGCAATGCCCCTCTGCCATGTACATTGGCCAAACCGAACAGTCTCTATGCAAAAGAATAAATGGACACAAATCAGACGCCAAGAATTATAACATTCAAAAACCAGTCAGATAACACTTCAACCTCCCTAGATACTAAATAACAGACTTAAAAGTGGCAATTCTTCAATAAAAAAACTTCAAAAACAGACTCCAATGAGAAACTGCAGAACTGGAATTAATTTGCAAACCGGACACCATCAAATTAGGCCTGAATAAAGACTGGGGGGGATGGGTCACTACAAGAACTAAAAAAAGCTAATTTCCCCATGCTAATTTGCCCCTACTGTTACTCACGCCTTCTTGTTAACTGTTTGAAATGAGCCACCCTGATTACCACTACAAAAGTGATTTTTCATCCTGTTGATAATGACCCACTTTAACTGAATTGTCTTGACCCCCCACTTGGTAAGGCAACTCCCATCTTTTCATGTACTGCTATATATATATATCTTCCTACTGTATTTTCCACTCCATGCATCTGATGAAGTGGGTTTTAACCCATGAAAACTTATGCCCAAATAAATTTGTTAGTCTCTAAGGTGCCACAAAGATTCCTCATTGTTTTTGCTGATACAGACTAACACAGCTAACACTCTGAAACTCAAACTTATGTCTCCTAGCCTGTCCTGAGAGCAAACAATCCTTTTCCCTCCACTGAGTAACAATGCCACATATAGAGGAAACTGAGGCACACATAGGATTCATAAACATATTACATAAAATTCCCACTTCATTACACCTTCAGCTTTTTTCACCGCCACGTCACAGGATGACTATGAGTCGACAATGTGACGTGGCGGTGAAAAAAGCTGAAGGTGTAATGAAGTGGGAATTTTATGTAATA